ATACGGCACAATCATTGTCTTTGCTTCTCTATTTTGAAACAGAGCCGAACTCTGTGTGGCATATGGGGAGGGGGATAATTAGGAAAAGGAATAACCTCTCATGCTTGACTTGAGTTGCAATCTGTTCTTCAAAGGACCTCTCGACTGCAAGAAAGAAAAGCTCTTCTTCTTTCCTTCTCCTCAGCGAATGCCCATAACTACGTGAGGTAGAAAAAAGAGATTAAAAAGTAAATAAAAGCTCTGATAAAAAGAAAGTAATAAAAAAATATAATCATTTGGCTGGATGGTTTCATAATCCTAGTTCGATTCGAAGTCATTCCCTTTTTGATTCAGATTGTGTGTTACATCATCACTGGGATACTCATCCTTTCTTGTGTTTCAGCAATCATTGGTGATAATTAGAGCCCGGATTTTGATGACCTGAAAAATCTCAACTAATGCCCTTAAAAAGGGCGAAAAATGCCCTTAAAAATGCGAAAATTGCGCTAAAAATGCCTTATGACATGAAATAAATAAAGTAAAAATATTGAACTAAAACAATGTTTTACTCTTAAATTATTATGAGTCATTTCAAAAAATATAAAGCAATGCAATACTTGTTCTACGTTCGTTAAAAATTGAAAAATATGTTTTATATCCTAAAATAACAACAAAAAGGAAAATATATTGACACCAAAACATTTTCATTTTGTATAGAAACTTTAATGAATATAACAACTTCCATCACATAATATTACTAAATATCAGAATTATATTGGATTATTAAATGTTTTTTGATATTTTGAAATGTAAACGAGCGTCTCTTGTCTGAAAGTAAATTTTCATTCCTGCAGAAGCTTTTTTCAACGTCTACTGATGTTATTGGTGCGTACTTGAAAAAGACGGTCTCACTTACTGACAATTCTTCTTCAATTTGAAAAGACGTTGCGTTACCTGTTAATATCCTAAAGATTTTCTTCATTGTTTGGAAGTCAGTGTAATAATAAAAATTGATAAAAAAATAATAAAAATTGGAAAAAATAAACAAAAAACTTAAAAAATGTTTTAAAATGCAAAATACGCCCCAAAATTTAAAGAAAAATGCCCTATAAATCTAAAAAAATGCTCAAAAGGGCAAAAAATGTCCAAAAATGCAAGTGTCATCAAAATCCGGGCCTTAGTGATAATGATTGAAAGTGCTTCTTTCGAACAGGCGGGGGATGGGGGGACAAAGGCGGAAAAGTTATTTGAGTGTTCTAAATAGAGTCAAATTTCACAATTGTTAATTTTTACCAAAAAATAAATATTCATTTATAAATAAGTAAAATTAAAAAATGAAGTGCTACTGATACGTTTTAAATAAGTATAATTTATTTTACTTATTTGAACAAAACGAAAGAGGTGGAAAAGTTTTATACAGTCCCTGGCTAATTTATTAGAGGCACTCATAATATTCTATGTAAATACTTAATTGTCAGGTTATTTTACGAATCTGGTTTGCACTTGTTTATACGTTAGTGTATCAATGGTTTAACATTGTCACGTTAAAAATAAATACAAATAGGAAGAATCTCCTAATCCCTAGATAAATGAAAAATCTAATCCAATAAGAATCCATTACATGTATGCTTTAATATAAAAGTATTGCCTGTAAACTCGTGCAAAACACGTCATTATTAAAACACTACAGTGTATCTAATAATGGGGTCTAATTATTATCATATACTAATATAATACCTGATATAATAAATATTTTATACAATATATCGTCTAATTTATCCAATTATTACATTGTCTAATTGATATAAGAACGTATTCAAGTGCAAACAGTCACATAAAAACACTGTAATAGATAATTAAGATTCTACGCAGAATCTCAGAGTTATAATATAGAAAAGGACTGTAGTATAACCACTTCATCCGATTTTCTTAACAAAAACAGCATCACTTAGCAAAATTAAAAACAGTCACGTTTCTGCATTCACACCCGGTGAAAGAAAAGTAGTAGTTAAAAAAATAAAGCATCATGGTTTGGTTCTTTCAAACCGCAGGAAGAAAGTTGCGATGCAAAATTGAGCCTGATATAATGAAATATTAATTTATATATACAAGGATTTGTTTGAAATTTGCTGACATTTATTACTCCTATTAGGTTTAATACCAATGATTACACGACTTATCGTATGGTGGTATAATCATATAACACACTGCATATTATAAGGATTCATTTTTGCCGTGAACTTTGTTAGATCAACACATATTGCTGATTAATATATCATACAATAATATAGAAAATATGTAATTGAAAAAATAAAAAATTTTAAAAATTCATTTCTGCATATTTCAAATCAAATTAATTCTTGTGTATAAATTATTATCATTTTTTTAAAAATATTTCGTTGCATTAGATATATGTTTAATTACATTAAATTTGAACTCCACGACCTGAATCTTGATTGAAATTGGAACTTTAAATGATAAGGAAAACAACATATCACAACTTAGTGAGTCAATTTTGTATTGCCATCTCTAAGTTTTTTCATGATTCTTTTTTGCAATCTCAATTTTGCCTTTTGAAAATATTTTACTAAATATTTCTAACTGTAAACCTAATTCAGATGATCGCTCAGATACAGCTAAAAAATATGTTGTTTAAATGAAAATTTTATTAATCTTTCTGTTGTTTGTGGAAATGAGAGAGAACTTTTCAAATGAGGGAAGAATTTTTTTCTTCTCCTTCAGGGAGAATTTTTTTTTACAAATTATAAAGTGACTTGGGTTAAAGACAAATAGCTAATTACTATATAACTAAATAAATCCACCTCTCATTCTCATACAGTGGCAAATGAAAGAAGAAAAATTTGAAAAATAAAAACGATAATTTTTTTAATAGTTTGCAAAAGAATAAAATATTTTAAAAATTATTTAAGAGAGCATATACACCTAGGTAGGTCGGAAAAATCGATCCCTCCCCCCATCTAATTATGTTCTTCACTGTTTCAACAGAAACTATAGAAACTGAAGATTCTGTGATAAATGATGGAAATTTTAGAGCACTTCTGCGCTTAAGAATTGATGCAGGTGACGACACGAAGTTACAGTATCACTTGGAAACTGCTTCAGCTAATGCTACTTACAACAGTTAAACAGTTCAAAATCAAATTATTGATGTCTGCAAATTAGAAATACAGGAAAATATACTGAATCGGGTAAAACAAGCAGGAATTTTCTCCATCATTTTTGACGAAACAACTGTCTTCTTCAAACTCCATCCCTGGACTTTAAAAGAGCCACAACCGCTTTGACTGATACTATTCTCGAGGATTTAAAAAAAAAAGAAGAAAAAAAAAAGAGGCCGATACTACTGTTTCTCAACAACTGTTTTCTGAAGCTCGAGATGTTGCTGAACAATTAAATGTAGAGCTGCGTCCAAAACGTTTAGTTTCTCGACAAACGCAAAGAAATAATAATCAGCCAAACCAGACCCCAGAAGAATATTTTCGGAAGGCTATTTAATTTATATTCCTTTATTAGATAATATTTTAACACATTTAAAGGACAGGCGTTCCCCAGATGCGGTGAAACTTTTTAATCTACGAGTTTTTTTTACCGCAAAATGGCAGCGTGAAACAGAAGCTGAAGTGCCCAACGATCTTTCCAAGATTATTAATGCCTGTGACATCGATTTGTACCTATCAATCAATATGTTGTTGAGAGTTTTAATAACTCTACCAGTTAGTGCAAGAACAGCAGAACGTTCCTTTTCAACGTCTCAAAACTTGACTCAAAATCAAGAACGATTAAATGGACTCGCATTATTAAACATTCATCGAGAAATTGATTTGGATGTTGAAAAAATCCTTGACAGATTTGCCAAAGTTTCTAAAAAACGCATTACATTTATTATTTAAAGATTTTGAATACNGCATCACTGGCTACGGTCAGTGTGCGGGTGGGTGACCACTTGGATCAGTCTGCGTAGGGACCGAGGGTGTGCGGTATTGGTCCTCGTTAAACTGTGCTACCGTAAAGTGCTCGACTTCGCGCGCAGGTCGTCGGGCTACCGAAGCGGGGGTGCCATCCCTTCCGCAGAGGATCAAAATTGTGATGGCATGTCTTCGGATCATCCTCCGGGATGTTTCCCAGACCGTCGCCAATAGCCCATTGTGCAGCTCCAGTGCGACGTAAAGTAACAACAACAACAATAAAAAAAAATTAATTGTGTGTGTGGGGGGGAGGGGGATTCTATGACCCCAACAGGAAAAATTACTGGATCCGCCCCTGTTCTTATATAAGAAATATTTTTCAGCTAAAAAATGTACGGTCGAAAGTATGATGCAAAACTATTTAGCATGAATTTAGCTACCCTTTAGTGCTGGCGTTTTCAACGGTAAAAGAGACAGTGCTGAGGTCAACTTAAAAGAAACCATTATTTTAGTGAGATTATTTTAAAAATATATAATACGAAATCAGTGAAAATATCCCTTACCAAATAATAAAAAAAATTTACAAGTAATAATAAAAAAATTAATTATAATAATAATAATGACTGTTAATGTAATAATCTGCTTTCTTTTTTCATTTGCAAAAGATTGGTAACTTTACGATGAATTTTCTTCTTCCTCATTCTCTCTAAAACATTGCTTTAAAATATTTTTATTATAAATATTATTAAATACGGTTTTTATACTTAGTGCATTTAAAAATACGCATTTAATAAATGTTTTTCTACATAAAAGTTCAAGTCAATATCTATTTATTCGATTCCATTTTCTGAACGAAAAAGTTTGAGTTCAGTCAAGTACACAGATTCAGATATTTAAATAAGTAATACAAAGTTACCTGCAACTTTTTCTTAAAGATAAAGAAAAAAAGGGATGCATTGTAAGTGTCGCTGTGGTCACCGGAAGCTGAGCACCTATTACGCAACTTAAATGTAAGCATCCGCTTATAAAATATAGTTCTTTCATTCTAAAAAAAACTAAATTCGTCCCTGTTTATAATCAAAAACCATTTTATTTGTAACGAATAAAATCATTGGAAAATAAACATTCGATTACGAAATTTAAATTTTTTATGATTTCATTAGAAAAGTCAGTTTAAACAATAAAAGTTGGCGTAGACTATGTGATAGCACATTGTGATTCAATTCGTATCAATCAGTCTGGCGTGGCCTCTGTATTGTCGGCTCTTATAACAAGTTTTTTTTTTTTTAAACCGGTATTTGTGCCTTGGATACAATTAGTGCCTTGGATTAATACAGTATTTCGAAAAACCTATGAGATATTTGTGAATAAAGTAAGTATTATTATTTGCAGATGTTTGAATGACATAATGCATTTAAAATTTTTTTTTTTGGAGCCTGTCGTTATTTCTTTAGGCTTAAACACTACTTGACAGCGACCCTACCTTTCAACTTTAAATATTTACTATCTCCGTTTCTTACTAAGATAATATGTCGACAAGGAATATTCGATACTCACTTAATATGTTTTGGTAGGGTATCGAATCTTTAAGAGTAAGTAAATAAAATGCATTTCAGTTAAGTTATGCTACCTGTTGCAATGCTAGCTTTACCTGCCCGTTCAGCTGTACCTGTTATTAGGCTTTTCCCCACCTTTCATTCTATCTCGAATGACTTTTCTCTTCCCTTTTATTAATTTGTCTCTATTTAATTGCGATTTAAAGTTTTTTTTTTGATGAAGTATGTTTTGTTAGTTATTACTTTTATATTAATTGTTTCTTATTTAATTTTTTAAGTTATTAAATGTTTTTTTTCTTGTTGCGGCTTTTATAGTGTTAAACTTGTAAAAATTTTTTATTTTGTTTATGTAAGGATAGAATTTTATACAGTGTTGAATGTAAACAAAGAAACGCATGAGCTTTTCCCAAGAGAAGTAGTATTTGCTATTTTCTCTTCTGCCAGTATTATATAGGCCTATTCCATGTTCATTACAAAAGCATGCAAGTTTTGAATTTTTTTTTTCTTAAATTTTATTAAAATCTAGTACAAGGATGTTATTTACAATTCGATGTACTGTTTGGAAGTGTTTGCTTTTAAAAATATAAATGATATTTGTTTGGTTGTATTTATTACTTATAGTTTTGAGATTTTTCTGAATACTCTACTTCGGATTGTCTACTTTTAAAATTTTCTTACAAAATCAATGCAAACTCTTTTTTTTTTATTTTGAAGAGTTTTCATGAAAGTAGCAGACTGCTGTCTATCTCAAATTTAGTGAAAGCATGTGCTTGTCTTTTAAAGTAATGTTAACAATTCCAAAATAAACGTATTTTGCAGAGAGATTAATCATTCCGTGCATTATAAAATGCAATTCTTAGTAGAATTTAAATCTTGAGATTGAAATTATTTTATTAGTTCTATTTATGTATACAACTGACTTAGTGTTATGTTTTAATTTGTTAGTAAACTAAATGTAGAAATATTGATCATAGTAAAATATCAGCAGATGAATCACTTTTGGACACAGAAACCTTGTGCACTTAACATGAATTAAAATTTGTGTCTGTTTATCTTAGTTGAGTTGTGAAAAGCCTGTCAGTGCAGACATTCTATTAGAAATCAAGCGAGTGGAGTACGATCAGGGTTGGCAGGTTTTTGACATGTGACAGTTTTTGACAGTTTAAACCATGGNGAAATCAAGCGAGTGGAGTACGATACTTGCATTATAATTATGATTCTTTTTTCCAGCTCTACAGCCCTTAGTGGCCTTTCCCTACCTTTACCCCAGGTATTCTTTGACTTGATTCAGTCGTCTTAGCTATGGTCTTTTTCTATCCTTATACAATTTTCATAGGCTTGTCCTACCTACTTTAATAAATCTAGTGATTTCTTTCATGCGTTATTTTTATAAATGACTATAATTCTAATTATTCCAAAATTTATTTAGTCTTTGTTAGAAGGTTATTTAGATCTTGAAAATGTAGAGCCCTTATAAGAGGGTTTTATATTTTCTTTGAAGTTTGCTTAGTAATCTATTTGCAAGTACCGCTTTAATTCCATGTAATTAATGCAGTTATGAATTTCACATTTATTGTTTATTTTATTATTGAGATAAGTAAAGGTACCCTTTTTTATAAATGTTTGATCTTGTTTTTGTCTTGCATAATTACGAATTAGGCTTGGTTTCATAAATCTCTAGATCTGTTTTTATTTTAAGTTTTAATATTAGTTGTATTTTTACTTAGATTAATTTATGTATAATAATTTAGCCAAAATGTTTGAACTGTGTTTTAAAAAAAACATGGTACTTGAAGATAATTATTTTATTTTTTATAACTATTCTGTTTATATCAGAGATGTGAGTTTTTGATTTGGATCTATCTGAATATTGATTCTTTCATCCCACTATTGAGGTAAGTTTTTTTAGCTTACGTAAAACTAAAGTGGTCACCAGTAATAGTCTGATGTTTGTGGAATACTTTTTGATTCGCAATATTTGTCATTGATGTACAGACTTTATATATAAATCCTGATTGTTCTATGTATTCCGCGATACCATAAGATATTTTTTTAAATCAATAATTTTTTCCCCAGTCAATTCAAGTGTTACTATCATTATTTAGTCCAGTTATTAGACTAAATTTCCCACTCTACAAACACATGCGCAAAACTGACTTTATGATGTTAAATTAAGTAAACTTTTCTACTTCCTTCTATCAGAATTGAGATAAATTGTATTCAGCATCACTTAGCTTGATGCTATTGCGTGCACCCAAATCACATTAATGGAAACTTACCACTCTAGAGTAATTTTTATCCTAGACATCCCTTTAGAGCAGTGTTTCCCAAAGTGTGGTACGAGAACAGTTTAGCGGGGGGTGCGCGTTCTTATGCAAAATATCTTGGAACAAACGAACAAAAAATATCTGAAAATTTCAAAATTTTATTCATAAACAATGGTAGTCATGAAAATTTAAGATTACATATTTTTCTATCTGCTATTTTTTGCAGAGTTTGCAAATTAGTGATGTCAACAACCAGTTGTGATTTTTTACTTTCGTGCAATTTTTTTATAGTAAAAAATACATTCATTATTTTTATTTGTGGTACACAGCATTACAAAAAATTTAGAAAGGGTACACTAAAGTCATAAGTTTGGGAAACACTGCTTTAGAGGGTTCATGACACTTATTTCAACAGCGACAGTGTTAAAGCTGCATGGTATTGGTGTAGTTTTAATAATTATCTAGGAAATCATATCATATCAATATAATTATTTATTCGTATATTTGGTACCTATTACGCACCCTTCATCATTTTGTGTGAAATAAATATTGTAGCCATAAGCATAGCATCAGTGGGACTGTTAATATCTATTTTATGTTTTATGCATCCATCTCATATGTAAAAATAAATATCTGTCTGTGTGTGTTCAACAGAAAGCGATGAAACTCGATAGTTCGAAGAATGAGGAAGGTCGACCTTAGAACATTCTGCGATGAAACACTCTGGCAGGATGTGTGAAAACCGAAATGGAATTTCCTCATTGGCTCAAAGTTTTCCATTGATTTAAATTAAACTGTAGATAATTAAATTTGTCAAATATTTCAAAGATAACACCAGCGATATTTGGTAGCTTTTATCTCTACTTGATCAAAGAAGTTTTTTGCTTTTCCTTTATAAATTTTTTATTCACTGTGTCAGATAAATTCAAAGATCAATCTGAACCTGTGAGCATTTGTGAAAACCAAATTGATATTTCTAAAGTTATCCGATACCACGTTTCGTTTATAATAAGTCTTTTAAAATGTGTTTTTATAAAGTCAACAATAATTGAAATTAAAAAAATTATGTACATTCAAAGGTAAAATGAATGGAAAAGTGGTAATAATTGGCTTAGGAGAAGCATGGAAAATCACCATACCCTTATTGACTCTTAATTTCGGTTGCATGTTGAAATAAAAGAAACATGCTATGTACTAAAAGGCAAAATTAATGTGATAAAGGTACTTATTCATTTAGAATAAACAAACCCCAGTAAACAGGGTTTGAATACGTTTTAAAAATAATAGAAATCTATATATATATTGAAATAGAAATAATTTAGATTTAAGGTTCCACTTATTAACTTAATTAAAGGTAATTAATAAAAAAGCCTTGTTTGTGCTATTAGGCATATTCTGCTCCCCTGAATATAATTAATAGCAAATATTTGAGAATCAATAAAAAATATTATATACTGAGATCAAGCAATTATTGGCAAAGACTTAAATTTTACTTAATCCAAAAAATGTGTTTAAATTGTAGTGGCAGAAAAAGAAAAGATTACCATTAGAAAAACCAATTAATAGTTTCAATAACTTTATAGATGTGACATATAATATATAATGTAAGTATTGTGCATGATTTAGTATCTAATAAAATGTCTCCAAAGTCAAAGGAGAAACTTGTCTGTAGTTTTTGACACTTATCGATAAGTTTTTGATGCTTCATGTGCCAAAAACCAGTTTTTGGCACCAAAAATCCTATCCTGGTTAAGTCTTATAATTTAAAAATTTGGATAAGCTTTAATTGGTGAAAAACCTTCCCCAATATTTTGGGTAAATCTCAATGGTTGATGAATTACTAAGAGAGTTGTGTAACACCTGGCATTTAACTACTGCTGTTATTTTTCAGAAATCACATGACACTAGTGTCTGCAATGACACTATTTACCTATTTTTTTTTGTTTGCTATTGGATAAAACGGGAATGTTTTTAGTTAAGCACAATACTTTTTTAGTGGTGTACAACCTCATTGAGTGATTGCCCAACAGGTTGTCTAAGGAAGGGCTGCACACATATTTATTTATTTTGGTGGCAAATATAATTTTATCTTAAAATTTGTGTTCTAAATGCTAAGTATTTTTATCAGTAAACTTAAACACATATTTTCGGAAAATTTTGATACTTTTAATTATTAAAATGCATTTGAAAATATAAAAGCTCATATTTTTTAAATCTTTTTTTTTGTTGCCCTTTTCTCAATAATTATCAGTATATATTAGATATATATTTGAGGAGAAAAGATACTATAAACTCTAATGAAAAAAAAAAAAACTACATACATATTTTAATGAGCAATATACGTTTGAACTAAATATTTTAATTAAAGAAAATTTATAGGGTTTAAGCAAAAAATAAAACTGCTATTATGGTACATATGAAGATTCAATATTTATTTAGTATTATACTATTTTCTTTCTTTAATTATTAGATGTTTTATGAATTTTAACTAATTTTTTTTAAAAATTTTTTCCTAGAAAAATCGTATAGTTACTAGAAATTCGAAACAAAATTATAAACAGCCAGCAGTTTAAAAAATTAGCGTTTTCCTCCAAATTTTCGATTTTTTTTTTTTATATGTTGCAATAACATAGTATTAAAATATCGGAATTCTTAATACCACGTGCAAATTCATGGTCCGCGTGACAGAATTTTTACGAGCTATCTGCGACAAAACTCTTTAGCACTAATGTCATTCTGCACGATAATTTTAATAATAACAAAACGTGTATGTTACTAATTTAAAATAACAAAAGCGCTGTGTCTTCAATATATCATATATAAATTTTTTTAATTAAACATGTAATAATTTTTTGTTCTAATATTATGGGTGATATTCTCAAATTTTGTTGGGGGAGAAAATGAACTAATTATTTCCATCTTGGCATTTTGTAAATAATCATCACAATTAAGATGATAACTAGAAATCATGAAATCCGTAGTAGTCATTGATCGATAAAGGATCAAGATAAAAGATCGACGACGAAATCACGCAAATCGGACTCCTCAAAAAGGGATTACTCAAATGCTTATTTCGTTTCGAGATTACGTTGTTATAATAAATAATATCGATCGTATTTGAAATATCGGAATTAAAAACTATAGAAAAATCAATAGCCATAACAGCTAAAAAACAATAGAATCATTGCCTTAAAAAGTAAATACTCAAATACATGATTCGAATTTTCCATATTGTTTGAAATATATTGGGATATTTAAAAACCACGAGAAAATCAATATCAATGACAGCCGATAATACAATCGGAAACATTATCTCGATTTACAATACTATTGGCGTAAATTGAGTGCGCCAAAAAGTGATTATCTAAATGCATGATTTAAATTTTACGTGTACATTTCTGCAGGTAAGAAAACTAATTTTTTTTACTTTTCAAAACAAAAATTTTTCTACTAGAATTCTGTAGCGTTCTTCGATAATGTCGCTGCGATTCTGCCGCGGGATGCATGGTGCGAAAAGAAACTACATATAAATAGCTTATGTGTATGATGGAATATGCTCAAATAAATAGCATCAAAAAGTGATTACTTAAATGCGCGATTAGAAACTCGCGTTTCGTATTAACATTATAGTTAAAATAACGGATCGAAAATACGGAGAAAAAGAATTGCTTGAATTCAGCTCGAATAAAGCACGCCATAAGTTATTATGTGCATGATTTAAAATAAGAATTTTAAAACCACTTAGGAATGCATCGCAAAAACCGTCGGAAAAAAAAAATGTTTGAAAAATAACTCGGATTTCCGATGAAATCAGCAAAAATAAAACGCTTCAAAAAAGTGATTATTTAATGTGCGATTTGTAACTCGCGTGCCGTAATAATTTACGGAATTTCGTAGCAATAACCGTAACTGAAGCGATCGAGAAACAACGTAGATTTATAATCGAATCTGTGCAGATTGAACGCATCTAAAAGTCATGATTCAAATTTGCAAAGCAAAATTTTCGATTTTTTTTTCTCTTCAAAAATAAATAAATGAAACACAGATCTCTAGTTAAAATTTAAACACACTAGCTAGTCAAAAACGAATCAAAATAGTCAATAACGATAAATTCCAGAGACTAATTCTGCTTGTGGTGGTCAGGACAAGATTAAAAGAAAGAAAAACGCTACGATTTCTGTTATAACTGTGGTTAAATAATTTCAGATAAAAACTTCTTTTTTTTATATGTTTAAGTAGTGTTACGTTAACAGATGAATCTTGCTAGGTTTATTTAATTAGTGTTAAATCTACAGCGCTCGCGCAAAAAGAGCGGATTATCCTGATTAACTTGTGATCCAATGATCGGATCTTCACGTTCTAGGACTCACATTTAATGGGGGTAACCTCGAATATGCTAATCAATTAGCGTAGGCGAGTATTTTAAGTTAGACACAAGAACGTACTTTCTCTGAAGCATTTTTTGTTGTTGACGGATTCTGACCTCTTAAAATTAGGGTCCGGATAGTTTGGTCAGGAGAGCGCTCCAAAGTCTGGACCCCTAAGTGTTAATTTTACTTTTTGCGCATTTTGCCTAATCTCTAGAATTTAGTGAGCGAATGGAAAAATTTTTGCACACAATTATAAAATTCGTTTATCCACTGATCAAGAGGGATTTTTTGCATCATTTTAAAGAATGTCAAAATACAAAATTTGAGCTCTTGACTCTTTTTGAAATGAGACGTCTTTCGTAGAACCGTTCAAAATTTGGGTCACAAAATATCTTTTCATAAAAACGGACCCTTCACGAAATATTTTAACTTAAAAACGGACACTTCGCAAAATGATTTTTCTTTTAAGCGGAAACTTCACAAATTTGTTTATCTTCATAATTGTTTTGTTAATCGAATAAATCCTTCCCAGGGCAGAAAACAAGAAAGATGGATGTAAACGAATTAAGTTTTGTCTTCGGCAGACGATTCTTCCATTATCCGTCCGAAATGAATATTCTGCGTTCAGCAGTATAGGCTAAATACCCAATATTTGTATGTTGCATCTTTAATTTAGAAGCAGCAATTGCTGTTTATTTTTTAAAATTTAATTCTTTTAATTATAGTTTTACAGTGTTGAGCATAATCTTGTATCTCTTTACAATTTAAAAACTCCTTGAAAAAGGTTTTTGCAATAACCGGACCCTATTTGCACAAATTCATAAAAACGGACCCTGGCTGAAAGAATGTAATTATTTCACAATTTCACGAAAAACGGACCTTTCACAAAATGTCTGGACGTGGACAGATCCCTGATTATGCATCTATGTGAATTCTGTGCATATGATAATATTGCAATTAAAAATCAGCATTAATTTCTTCACTTTTAATGAACTATAAAATATGGCTCAAACAGCACAACGATGTTAGAACATAAACTTCACATCGATTTTTTGGCCCTTTCAAATTTATACTTATTTAAGAGTCTGATAATGAAATAGAATTCTCATTTAGAATTGTTTTTACTTTTTAGTGTGTTTTACTGTCTTAAAGTGTCCCAACATTGGTAAATGATAAAAATTCTACATACATACTGCACAATCCATTGAATAAGAAAAGTGAATCTTTTAATATTGATCAATTGTGTTTTTGCGTAAGAATGCAGTATTAAAAACAATAATAAATCTTGAACATTTTAAAATGTGGTAACGAACATAAAACATGTGTCGATATTTTAATTTATCTGTCACCACCACTAAAAATTGTTTTTCAAAGAAAGTGTGAAAATTGCAGTATAATAAAAATGTATTCACCTTAAATGTACTACCGATACTAACATTTTTGATGGACCCTGGTGCATATGCTTTAATAAAACAAAAACGTGTCATCATTTTGTTCCTTGTTCAAAAATGAATCTTTTATTGCTCACAATAGTTTTTTTAAAAATTGTGACAGTTTAATAAAAGGGTTTTGTACAGTTAAAGAGGGACTGAACGGCCGTGGATTCATCCATCCTGTCCTTGTCAACTCTGCTTTTCAGACTTTGTGACGTTCTTCTTGTTGACAAGTTGGGTACAAAATATTGAAATAGTTGTTTTTCATTTCAGGTTAAATAATAAAAAAATGTTGAAGTTTATGAGGGGAAAGAGTCACCATTTGACCGCAGAAAGGCTCAAATTACATAAAGAATTATTCAATTGTGTGAAGGTAAGAATCTTTTTAAAATGGTGACATATTTCGCTGATTTAAAGGCGAGTCCAATTATGAAATATTTCTTTTCTCCTTCCATATTTAATTCCTCCATTGTTAATGTGTTCATCGACTGGCCAAATTATGAGACGAACTCTAAGATTCTACGCGTGATACTTAATTATCAGGTTTTTACGCGACCGTCGGTGTATTCTAATAATTACTTGTTTGACGTTTTAATAATGACATGTTTTGCACGCATGCAATACTTTTATACATACATGTAATGGGTTTTTATACACTCCCTATTTGTATTTATTTTTAACGTATTCAGGGGTCAGAAATTTGGGACCCTTCGCAAAATATCTTTTTATAAAAACGGACCCTTCACAAAATGATTTTTCGTTTAATCGGACCCTTCACAAATTTGTTTATCCTCATTATTATTTTGTTAATCGAATAAACCCTTTCCAGGGCAGAAAACAAGAAAGATGGATGTAAACGAATTAACTTCGGCAGACAATTCTTCCATTATTCGTCCAAAATTAATATTCTGCGATCAGCAGTATAGGCTAAATACCCAATATTTGTACGTTGCATCTTTAATTTAGAAGCAGCAATTGCTGTTTATTTTTTAAAATTCAATTCTTTTAATTATAGTTTTACAGTGTTGAGCATAATCTTTACAATTTAAAAACTCCTTGAAAAAGGTTTTTGCAATAACCGGATCCTATTTTCATAAAAGCGGACCCTGGTTGAAAGAGTTATTTTTCAAAATGTCACGAAAAACGGACCTTTCACAAAATGTCTGGACAGACCCCTGGTATTGCATGACAATGTTTACCCATTGATGCACGAACGATAAGGAAGTGCCGTCAAAACAATAAAGCCTGTATCACCTGATAATTAAGATTTTACTCAGAATCTTCTCATAATTTGGCCCTGTAACTCTTTGGGTCGATTTCCCCCTTCAAATAGGATAGAATTGTCAAAATTATTTTAGTTTGGTTCCAGTAGAACAATTTATTGAAATGAATTTTGTTTGTTAGCAATTGAAAACCACAGCTCATCAACGAGTTAACTATTTCAATTTATTCATTTTTCTTATCTCTTTGAATGTCATCAAGACGGATTTATCTAAAGAGGAGTTTTTGAGGACTAGAAAAAAGCATTTAAAGTGGGTATTCAATGTCTTAACAATTTTTATTGAATTAAATGGTCCGAAAGTTTACTTCTTACCGGGTATAATAATTATTTAACCCTGTGGCAGCATTTTTATTACCATAGCATTAATCTAAGATACTTTTAATCTAATTTAAAGTAACAGTTGTGATTACAGAAGAATAAATACTTATGTTTGAATTTTAAAGCACTGATTTATTTTTTAAATTCTATTATTATAGGCGCTTTCTCGCATTTTGTAGGTGGAAAAACGCACTCATTATTTTCCCTTTCTAATTTTACAAAACATTACGAAAATTAAAATTCATAAATAAATGAAACGATCATAAATTGAAATGTGCAAATATATTTAAAATCGTAGAATCCACATAGTCATTCAAAATCACGCTTTCAAAAAAAGAGATATTCCAATAAGTGTGCGTAAGGAAAAGAAAGGAAAAGAAAAAAACATCATTTCTAGAACGAACTTTTAAACTTTCGCGATTTCTGAATCTCTCATTTTATATTATTCATTTTAAATTCTAGCTGAAGCCAGTCTCTTTTTTTTAAATCTTAAATAAAAATAGAAAAATCACGATTATTTTTTCCCCTCTCTGATGCGCTTGTTCTGCGACAATGTCGCCTCATTTCTGCCACGGGGATTGTAAGTATGAAGAAAATAATAATAAATAAAGGCGCTTAAAAGGTTTTGTGTTAAAATGAATGTGTGTGTTTCTCTTTCAATTTAGACGACCACTCATGGATTTCCACACAGGCCGAGTGCATTGGCTTGGGATGCCAAATTGCAGCTTCTAGCCATAGGAACCAAAAATGGTTTGATTAGAATGTATCCTTTTTGTCTTACATCTTCAGGTGTTGCCATCCATTGTTCCCGCTCACATTCAAAAAAATAAATAAAAATAAAACAATACAGTCAAACCCCACTGTAGTGAACCTTCAGGAGACAGACATTTCGGTTCACTGTAACCGGGAGTTTACTATATCCGCACGGCAAACCATTCATTTTTCCGAACTGCTCCCTCTTATGACACATTATTTAAACAATGTGTTCACTTTAATTTTTTATTCCTCCTCGTCTTGCGTACAAAAAATGTATTGATGGGAAACTGAAATAGAGGCAAACAAGAAAACATTCCACTCAATAAATAGTTTTAAAAATCGGTATATGTATATTATGTAGAAATATCAAAATGACCAAAAACGACAAAAAAACAAAAAAACAAAAAACAAATATCCTCTCTTTTGGTTCACTGTATCCACAAAAACTAATACAGTCAATTCGCTGTAACTCGAAGTACGATAACTCGAATATTACTATAACTCGATTTTTTTAAGGGGTCCCGACCCTTTTATCTTCAATTTCATGTTAATTATTCTCGATTACTCGAACTTTACTCCCTTTAACTCGATTTTTTTTGGATCTTTTAAAGCAAGAAAAAAAACCTAGGAGCTGATATCTTGCCCCTTCCTTTGCAACACACACACAATGTCTTTCGCACTCTTCATGGAGAAGCTAAAGCTGTCCCTCTTGAAGTATGTGAACAGTGGTTAAATGAAACGTTACCAAATTTACTTCAAGGATACAGTTAAAATGATGTTTTCAATATTGATGAAATGGGTTTATTTTTTAAATGTCTTCCAAATAAGACTATGATGTTTAAGGATGAAAACTGCTCAGGGGGTAAAATGAGCAAGGAACGTTTGACTGTCCTAGTTGGAGGAAATGCGTCTGGGACAGAGAAATTGCCCTTACTTGTTATCGGAAAATACCGAAATCCCCGATGTTTCAAGAATGTAAAAACGTATCCTTTGGATTACAAGTCTAACAAAAAGTTTTGGATGACATCAGTTTTATTTGAAGACTATGTAAGAAAATTGGATCGGAAATTCTTCGCTAAAAAAAGAAAAGTGATACTCTTTATGGATAAATGCACAGCGCATAGTGATCTACCTAATTTGAAAGCAGTAAACTTGCAGTTTCTCCCGCCAAACACAACAGCAAAGTTGCAGCCGATGGACCAGGGTATCATAAAGTGCTTCAAACAGTCTTATCGTAAATGGCTTGTCAGAAAAATGATCTTAAATATTGTAAGCATTTAGAAGATTTGTAATTGATAAGCATTAATTAAATAATCCGACAATATTTTGAAAACCGAAACTAACGGTAAGTCGAACTTCCGATATGTCGAAGTTTTTCGTCAGTCCTATCAGATTCGAGTTATCGCGAATTCACTGTATATGTGTATAGGCAAAGTACGGGATCGAACATTTCGTTTACTCTATCCGGCAGTTCATTATAAACCATGTTGACTGTAAAACACTTTTAGTTTATTTTTGTCCGTTATAACTATGTATCGTTTGAAAGTCCATTGATTATTTGAATCACCTTAAATATAGGACTCAAAAAGAGCTCGTTTGTGATATGCGGATGAACATAATTTGAGCATGTATGAAAATTATTAAAAAGAAAGAATGAATTTGTGGATTGAAGAAGAGAGTTCATTGTATCAAATGTCGTCTTCAACAGATCACCACGTATTCAGAAAGAAATTATTTATTTCTGTTTAGGAAGACGGTTAAAACAACGCTGGATAATTGGGGGGGGGGCGATTTCTGGATTGAATGGTACATTTTGTTTTCCTTCTGATAATTATGAAATTCTCATAAACTGTTGTTCTCTCCGCCTTTTGGACATCATTATTAAATATTTTGAAATTGTGTGTACTGAGCGATGGTACAATAATATTTTACGCAGTGAGTAAGTTGCATTTTTTAATAATAATTATTTCTCAGTATTTAAAGACGTGTGCAGAATAGAGATGGATTGTAAACAGGATTTGCTCAATTAAAAGATAATAACTTCGATTCTCATTCGGGTGACAGCAAAACGATGAGTCACTACGTAAAAAAAGACGAGGGACGGATTTTACAAAGAATAATGCTTTTAAATCAAATTTACGAGCAAATCTATGAATTCTCAGTTAATCTGTTCGAGATTTATTTAGTTAATTTTGGTGTTATGCAAAATTCTATAGTTTTCATTGGATGATTCACAGATAATAAAAAGAGTGAGTCAATAGGTATGGGATACATATTTACAAAATGAATCAACAGATAATATGGATGGATTTATCCAAGCAGTGAGACTTTTTGTTTTCATGCAAAATAGTTTTTAGAATGAAAATAATTTTTTTATAGACATTTATCTTCGTGTGATTTTTCTTTCTTAACAATCGGCAATTGTATAAAAATAAGTTATCCAGAAGTGACGAAAAATGAGATCCTTGTGGTATTCCATGTAGTTGAATACATGTTTTTCCATGGTTTAAAAAGTGCTTATTTTTGATTTTAGCTTTTTAAAACTCCTGCTTCTTTCATGTTTTTAAAAAGTGCTTCATATTCGAAATGGAGATTTTTCTTTTCTTTATCGTGTCGATTTTCGCTGCGTTATTATACAAGAGCGTGCTTTTCACATTGTTGTTTTCAACATTATTCATTCAACCACAATCCATTTTGGCTTAAATTCGCTCGTTTAAAAGTGCTAATCATTTTACATGTTGGATGAAATACTTTCGCGTCTAGTGAGCTGGGTCAACACCTCCTAGACTCTTTTTCTAGGAGGTGTTGGCTGGGTTCGGTGAGATACTTGCACTCGCGTGTGCAATTCTGCTGCATTTAGCAAAATATTCTCAATCTCTGGCTTCATTTTTCACTCTTTGAAATCGAACCGGAAAATCTATGGATCATTTTATGTCAGAAACTAGTTACTTTATCATGATCATCTAAAATTATTTTGCATTTTGTTAATGTATATAGTGCTTTAAAATATTTATTGAGTGCTTAAAAAGTACTTAAAAGGTGTTTATTTTTTGTTGCGAGATTTGACCTTATTTCGCAAAGTAAATCATAATAAACAAAGATTAATTTTCAAAATTTTAGTTTTTTATATTATATAAGGTATATTATAATAATTAGACCAAATTATGAGACGCAAAATAGTGTTTTAATTATTGCACGAGTTTATAGGCAAGTAATGGGTTTTTATTAAGGAGATTTTTTTTTATGTACTTTCCATTTGTATTTATTTTTAACGTAATGCATTAACCAATTAATACACGAACATAAACAAGTATAAACCTGTTTCAGCCGATTTTAGAGATAATTAAGATTTTACATAGAATCCTTACAGTTGGAAAGGGTCTTCTCTAAACAGTTACGAAAGATGCTTATAGAACATTTTCATTGAAATGGCGCCCTTCTGCGAGGAACAAATCACACGGAACAGCAGCAGTGAACGTCGCCGCCATGATTAAAAGTTGTTGAATTCCGATGAAGAAGTGACGGGGGGGGGGGATAAAGAAAAGGCTGGGTTTGATGACCCTGTCTTTCTTTTCCCTCTGGACCAGTTTTGCCTTCTATTCAATGAGTCATCGCGCTTTTCAGGGTCAACTCGCAGATATATATTCCACCTGGTAGCCGCCGCTTTCCTTGCATTTAAGTTAACTTAAAAATCTTGATGAGGTTATTGTCCTTATGTTAGAATTATGTCTTGTACTCGAATGTTATAATTAATCTTATAGATTTGAATCCTGATTTTAATTAATTTTGTCGCAAACAAATTTTTTTTTTCTATAGACCATTAGATATTAGTTGGTGAAAGCAAAAATAGGATCGCTCTAAAGTAATTCAAAAATGTAATAAATTTTTCTTCGTTTCCTTTTTGAGTCATTTCATTTTTTCTTTCTTTGTTGCAATTATTTAAAATAAATTCTTTTGTGGTGTCAGTTCCCTTCCTAGCACATCACTAAAATGTGTTTTTCTTAAAACCACAAGATTTTGTTTTGTGTCAAGGGGAGATGGTAGTCAGTTTTAAAAATAACTATCCCATTATTACTTTTAGTTTATTTATTTATTATTATTTTTTTAATGATGTAAAAAATGACACATTCCAATCCAGAATTGTGAAAACTCTTTTAAGTTGACCTACTCAATTTGAGTTTTCCTAAAGTTAAAAACAGAAAGGCTGCACGTTTTATATAAAGTATAAGAATAATTCATTGGGCATTCATTAGTTTTAGTCCAGTTTTTTATTTTATTTTTAGAAAGTACAGATTTTTATCTAACGCTAGATTCTTCTCTTATTTTGTTGTGATATAGTGGTTTTGTTACATTGGTTATAAAGTCAGTTTTTAAAATTTTTTTCCTTATTAAGTGCTTGTGGAATGGAGATAACTAGGATTAGAGATGCTTTTTTATTCCTTTAATTTGTGGTTAAAGAAATCCTTGTTATAATTTTGAATTGAGTGCCATTCGATTTCAGAGTGAACCCCGGAATTCCTCGAGCTCTAGAAAAAGGGCATGTTTTTTTTTTTTTTTTAAGATGACCATTGTTTTGCGGACAAATCAAAACTTTTAATCCTACAAAATTTTCACCTTAATCTAAAATTTAAAGTAAGAATTAAATTCTACAATTTGAAACCTTCCCTAAATCGCCTTAACGAGACGTTTTCATACACGTGACTCTTCTGCAATTGATTCCCCCCCCCCCGGTCGTTTTTAATATTTTGAAACTACACCGGCGGAATCCGCTAATATCGCTATTCATATTCGCGCTATTTTAATGTTAAACATCGATTTTCGAAATTTACTGGATTTAAAAGGGACTCATTGGGGGACTTATCGACTCGTGTTCACGGGATTTAAAAATCCTATGTCTCTATTCGTGTTCACGTGATTTGAAAATCCTATGTCTCAATTCGTATTCACGTGATTTGAAAATCCTATGTCTCAATTCGTATTCACGGGATTTAAAAATCGTGCATCGCCATTCGTATTGATGAGATTCGAAAATCCAATATTGCGATTTGTATTTTCGCATTCTTAAATCTAATATCACGATTCGCACGATTTTAAAATCCAATGTCTCGATTCTTGTAGGAACAAATATTTTTCTTAAATTAGTTATCATAAAAGTTCCTTATGAGCTAATTATAAATCTTTGTTCAAAAAATTAAATATGAATCTTGTTATCGAGTTTTTACTCGTAATATTTTCAGGGTTTTACACTTTGTTAACCCTGCAATTTGTTGTTTAAAGAGCTCTTTTATCTTAAAGAAAGTGATAATAGTCATGGCGACATTCTTAGTGTCACCATCTGCTGTAGGGCGTTTCCCCCCCTCTTCCAATGTTACTTAAAAAATGATCGCAACCTAACACACAAGTGTGATTAAATCTTTACATATGCGTCTGATATTTTCAGTCATGAATTTCGGTATTGAACAAAATTTGTCATGATTTGAACTTTTTTTAAAAAAAGAATGGAAAGTCATGAATTTAGGTCGACGAAAAATCTAATTTTTTAAAATGGAATTTACACCCCCAGCTGCATGGTGTTCCGAATATCTGAATTTGTAAGGAAGTCCCCACTCACAAATTTATTTAAAATGTTTTTATCATGTTTTTTCATTTTATCATGTTCTTTCAAAAAATGAAGGAAAAAACATTTCTGGAGCGAATTATCTTTATAGCTTCTGTGATTTCAGAATTTTTGTTTTTATTTTATCTATTTCAAATTCTAACTGAAGCAAGCCAGTCATTAGCGAATTTTTTTAAATTCCGAAATAAGAACCGAAAAATCCGGACTATTCCTTTCCGATGAACAAAAAAAGTAACTTTAGAATAATTCTTCAGAAAAAAAAAATTATTTTTTTTTTGCTTTTGTATTTATTTTATTGCTTCAACTCTTTCTTTCCTCTGTTTTTTAAATCTATAAATATGAAGATGCAGGAGTAGAACAGCATTTCCATAAATGTTATTATAATGCTTTATTCTTGTGTTTTTGTCATGAAAGATGTTTAGAATGTAGCAGAATATTGATTTAAATATAACATCATAGCGACATTTCCAAGAGTCTTCCCTCCGAATACAATCGTAAAATTTGTTTGCAATCGCGAAAGTAATGTTACAATATTTTTTTCGGATAGAATCAGGTAATTATTTAAAAACTCTCATAATTGGGTCTAATTATTATGCTTGATATGATAAATATTCTATATCGCCTTCATTTATCCAATTTATATTATATATCGTCTCTTTTAACCAACGAGCATCAGCGTAAAAACAATGAGTCTGTATAGTAAGATTTTTACATAGTCTAATAACATGGACTCCATTTGAAGATGGCATGATCCAGGTGTTCTTTGTTGGCGTCTGTGTAACCCGAATGAAGTAGATACAGTTGCAGTCTCCGCAAACACTCGGGGTCGATTTTATCCTTGGATTCTGAATGAGTGTTTCCTAACAGGATAAAGTGATTGAATAGTTTTACAGAAATTACAATTTTTGCGGAAGGGGGAAAAAAAATTGTAGTTTTCGTCGAGGCTTTGGTAAAGTTTTTAGTTTCCATAACAACAGTAATCAACCCGCGTGCGTATGAACTTCCGTTTGTTAATTCGCGTTTATGCGAGTGATTTTGTTTTGTATTATTTTTGCGTTTGTTTATTTTTCACTTTTATTAGGAAAATAAAAAAAAATTGAATTTTTTCACCACTGAAAGTCACCCTAGTTAAGGAGTAGAGATCCAGTTTGATGATAGTTTAGATCTTTGTGGCAGAATATTTTGTTACAAACCTCTCTAGCACTTTCTGCAAGATACTTTTATTAATAATTAATATACATGTTACTAATTAAATTTAAAGTAGCAGAAACAGTGTATTTACAAAAAAAAAACCTATTTGGATTTAATAAAATAGTTTGTATTTTTTTTAAAATTAATATTTTTTTTATTTTAATATCATGGGCGTTATTCTCACATTTTGTAAGAGGAAATTACATTAATTTCTTTTTTCGCATTTTGTAAATCATTCCCCTCAGATGATTGAAATAGGCATCTTTTGAATATAATTTTGGAGGAAAAAAATGTTTCAAACATGTCTGCAGAAAAGAAATTTTTTGCTTCAATATTTTATTTTTCATTCTTCTCAAATAAGAATCGAAAAATTACGAACATTTCTTTCCCCTTCAATGCGTGAAAAAGGGATCCTTTAAATATAATTTTAAAGCAAATTTTTTTTAACTTTTTGCAGAAAAGAAAACCAAAATTTTTTACTTTCTAAAGGAAAATTCTTTCTGAGAGAACTCTGTTACGTTCTGCGACAATGTTGCCATGTTGTAGCGATTCTGCCATGTATGTAAGTTGGATACACTTATCATAAAATGCATAATAGATAATATCGAAAGAGCAGATTTAATTTAAAAAAATAGAAATGTAAAATTAAGAGCACAAAAAAAAATCTCATTAATTTGCCTATTTATTAAAAGTGTATTCAATTTTGAGTAACTGCTAAAAAAGAGACCTTATTACGAGAAGGCAAATAAGCTTTCAAAATGTCATAAAGATATTGGTGTTAGGGGCAACGAGTTTAAAATACAATTAAGTCAGTAAAGAAAATTTAAAAGCGTTAACTGTAGCATGGGTGATCCTTTTTGGATTTTTTTTCTTTGATGTTTACTTTTTTCTTCTGTTTGAGTAAAGAGATATTGAATCCCCTTATAAATTTTTAATGAAGTATTAAATCTTAACTTACATTTTTTCTATTATTGAGTCTTGTATCCAATGAATTGAATAATTAAGCTAGTTAAAATGCAGAAGCTGGAAGGATCAAAAATGAGGAACAGAAAGCATGTTATTTCAGACTTAACTTTTTTAAAGATATGGTGCACCAGGTGTGGAATTTGAAGGAAAACATAAAGAAGAATCATGTGTCATTGAATTGTTCTTTTTACCTGGACAGGTAATGTAATTTTGTTATTTGGTTGCTTTTAAGATTATTTCAATAACATCCTGGAGGAACATTCTAATGTGAAAATATTCTCCATGTGAAAATTGGTAATCTCTGAAATGGTTTAGGTAGTTAAATTGTAAATTTTTTTTTTTGCTTCTGCGGTTTTTCGATGTACCGAAGGCGAAAAGACAATAAAATTTCTTCTCGGGCATGAATCTTTGTCTGGCGGTAAAAAGGATGTTAGGCTCTCTTTAAATTTTGAAGATAATTCATAAAGTTGCTTCTCAATGAAATTAATCAATATAATCTCAAAAATTTTAACATTTTTTTTAATTGTGAATTTAGAACTATATTATTCTAATTATGGGAGTCATTGTTAATATTCATACAAACAAATATGGAGACTTAAAATTCTCCCTCTGATACATTTAGAAACGCTTAAGTAAACTTCTTAGTTTGGCGGAATGATAATTTTTTCACTTAAATGAAATAGGGAATCTAGCTGCTTAATATGTAAAATTCGAACTGAATTAAGTTTTTAATGATTTTCAAATTGAAAGCAAATATCAATTACTTCACTTATAGGTTTTTGCCACATATGTCAGCAGTCTGTCTGTTTTTTATCTTCTGTCAGTAACAAAAAAAATTTTCCTAGACTTTTTCTCTGGAGTTTACTTGCAGAAATCTGCTGTCTATTGACATTGCAGATTTATCTCTTACTTGCAGATGAAATAGATCAAATTACAAAAAAAAAAATGTCTCACTCCTGTTTGTTGCTCATTGTGTTTGCACTATGGCAGATTTTTTTTACCAAATTTTTTTGAGGGAGACCGAATTTAGGCAATACGCCTATACGAATTAGGCATATGTGTCTCCTTGGTTCAAAAAATTTCAGCATCTTTTCCTATGCTCTATTTTATTTGTTAGAACATTGTTTGATCTGCAAAATGATCTAATTTCAGGTAATTTCTCAAGCTTTAGAATGTTTTAAACATTATCTAGAAAATATATTTTAGTTAGTCTTATTTTTTAAAAATTTTAGTTTAAATTTTATTCTAGGTTCAATTTTTGAAAAACTAATAATATTTTCAATCTATTAATTACTTTTCTATTATTTATTAATGTGTCAATCTATTACTTATTTTTTTTACAAAACAGAATTAGCAAAATAGGAGTCATTTTGTATATTTAAGGGAAATTTTTTTCCATAGTATGAAAGTGGTAGTAGAAAGTTTTCCCTATGACTTTTCTTAAAAAAATATTGAAAATCGTAAGAAAAACTTTTCCCATGGTTTCCTAATTAGATGAAATGTGACTGTGAAATCTTCATTAAATTAAATTTTCGACCTATTCAACTTCAGTTGCTTCATTTTAATTTCATTTTATTATCATATGGAAAAGCAGCAATATTATATGTGATCTCCTTTTCATTCTACCCCATTTTATTCTGAAACTATTCTATTGAGTAATAAAAACTCTACTTATTTATAAAGCTCCTTGCAGAATGGTCAAAAATGTATTTTTTCTGATCAAAAATTAAAATTTATTCTTCTCATATTGTTTTAAAAAAAACTCCCATTCATAATGTAATGCAGGGTCGTATCATAAGCCAGTGTGATAATGCGTCTCTTCATCTCTTTGAATTGAATGAAAAAGATGGAAAATGGATTTTGGAAGAAGTGAAATCTTGTTCCCTACAGGGAAAGTGAGTCTGTTTTTATTATTCTTTAGAATACCCTGAAATATGCAGTAAATGTTGATTATGTAGTATCGTTGCAAGTAATAAAGTTATTGCAACACTTTTATTTTGTTAAGTACTATTTTTATAAAGAGAAGGATTTAATTGAGTGCAAATGTGTTTATTGCAGGTTAAAAAGAATAACTACATGTTGCCTACCTTTGAGTGGAGAGCACTTACTTATTGGAACAGATGGTGGCAACATTTATTCATTGGATGTCAAATCTTTCGATATGACCGATCACATTATTTATCAAGAAGTTGTCATCCAAAAGTAAGTTTTTTTCTTTTAATGCTCAATTTACATCTTTATATTAACTATGAAAATATCTTACAGTGTCACGTTTAAAAAAAAAAAGTTCCAATTTCTTTTCTATTTTTGCACAAATTTGAGTTACATTGTTTGCATACAGAGTTGGGTTTTTTGGATGTCCTAAACTGGTTTTGGACAGGACACATGGGTCTTTGACTATCTTAAATTGTCCAAAACCATGAACATTGGTAAAAGGTAAAAATTCTATATGTGTGACATGTAATAATTACATATATTAATAAATATTTGATATTTTTATACAATTTATTTAAACTTATGAATCTTTTCCTGCTATTTTCTTTTAATAACTTTCGAAGCTCCACAATTCATTGGAACAACAAAAGTGAATGCCTTGCTTCTAAAATATAAATATGTTTCACATAAGGATAAATAATGCAAGATTAAAAATAATAAACTTTTTTAATAATGAAAAGAAATTGTCTTCATTTTGTTTCTTGTTCAAAAATGAAAGTTTTATATTCACAATATTTTAAAAAAAAAATTATAACATAATTTGACTAAAAGGGTTTAAGACAGTTTTGGACAAGATGGATTAAACCCTGGTTTAAACCATGGATTAATCCATTATGTCCTATGATTTGCCAACTCTGATTCTTAAGGATCCTTCTGAACTCGAATTGGGTCCGCTTTGCTCTTCACAAAAATCCAGTATAGTGAAGGTTCTACAAAAATTCCGTATTTTTTTTTTAAATGTATTTTTTCATAAATGTTTGCTTGTAGAAGTAGCACTTTTAGGCTCAATAAACTGACAAAAGCTAGTCTTTCCTCCTTCAATGACACTTTTAAGTTTGACATACCAATTTGTCTTCGTTGGTAATTTAACTACCATTTTTCTTTTTTTTTTAAAAAAATCTGTTTTCTCATGAAAAATTTTTGATTCTTAAAGATGTAAGATTTTTTAATATTTTTTTCTAAATTTATTTACTTTCATGATTTCATTAGGGTGACTTCAGATCACTATAACTAAAAACGATCTTTATGACTGTTTTTTTTTAAAAATTTATAAAAAAACTTTTTTCCCCCTCAAGTTTTTATTACATTTAAGTTCTTGAGAATATTAACAGCAAAACGAAAAGAATTTGAAATATTAAAGGTCGTGTGGAAATCTGTAACTGTTAAAAATGCAGTTGTAAAACCATGTGGACAACGAAACTGGCACAATTAGAGTGCATCAAAAAGTGACTCTTCAAATTTAAAATTCTCCATGCAAAACAATTTGGTATTTAAAAATCTTGATTTTTCAAAAGCATGAACAAAATATGCCGCAATAACTGGTTGAAATACGATCAATCAAGCAATGTAGATTTATGGTTAATTCGTTTTGCTTAGAAAAGTGATTCTGCAGGTGTGCGAATTGAAGTTCGCCATACAAAATAATATCGTAACATAAATGGGAGATTTTAAAAATCATGTCAAAATCGGTATTAATAGCTAACAGAGCAAAAACGGTTGACAATCTGCTTGTATTTATGTTGGAATTGTCGTTAATCTACTGGGTCAAAAACTGATAATTCAAAAGCGTGATTCTAAATTTGCGGTACAATAATAATAAAACTTAAAATAAAATTAATTTTAAAACAGTCAAAAAATCATAATTATCAAAGTCTTTATTTAAATTTTATATGAAGTATTCCCCCCCTATGTAAAATNCCCCCCCCCCCCCTTTGAGTAAGGCTATAATATTCCAAGGCTTGGAAACTATCTATTGATATGATTAACCCTGTATCTATTTTCCCCTTTCCAAAACCTTATTTTTAATACGCAATTTTAATTTTCATATTGGATATGCAGTGATACATTGCTTGTTACCTTGGTTTTCCTGCTTCTGTTACTAAGTTTAGTAACTTGATACAATGAGCCAGATAATTCTTAAATACATAAGTTATTAAAGCATATTAAATGGATATCCTTTTTGTGTTAGACGTTAAGCAAATTTACTGGTTGACAATAACATCATAGTAACCTGTGTGTTAAGCTTACTAATTTATATAGAGAGGCATGAATATTTTTTCAGCGTTCCTGATGATTATAAACTGAATCCTGGTTCAGTAGAGGCTATAGCGGAACATCCATTAAATTCAGATAAAATCATCATCGGATACAACAGAGGTCTGATGGTACTCTGGGATAACAAGACTCTGAATCCGGAGCATACTTATGTTTGTAGTCAGGTTAGTATGTGCCATTTCTTTGCATACAAATTTCTCTTTTATTCAATTACCTAAAGGTAAGGTCGACCATGCACGAATTCGCCTCGTGAGACTACCGGGTCAAGACTTCCGATTGATTTTTTATGTCCAATATTATTATACCGATAGTGTTTACACTCTAATGTACTCTTTCAATTTCAATGAAACAAACAAATTCGGAAGACTCGACAAGCACGTTACGATGCTACCCCAAAAATAACTTAACATCGGTATTTTACACAAATATGGCCAAATAAGGGACAACACTCAAAACATGGCAAACCTTTATTTATTAATTTTCTTAAATTTGTTTTTGACTCACAACCCGGTAGAATTTGTAAATTAAGGGATTCTCTTGTGAATGGTAAAATTACACGTAAATTTAATCACATTGCAGTAATAAAACTTGCAATATTAAGCCTGTTCACACATGAGCGGAGGAATACGCCAGAAGTTTTCTTCCAGTTTTAGGAACCTTGTTGTTTACGTTCAGCTAACCATCCATTTTCCAAATCTTTTTAACCTAAAAGGTAAAATTAGACTCCAAAGGAAGGCACCTGTGATCAACAGGATTAAAGAAAAATTGCTTGTTTTTCAGAGATCACACTTTCAAGAACATACTATAGTTTTGCTTTTGATTTAGCCAGAAATCTGAGAATGTTCCTTATTGCAAGATTTTTGGACAAATTACACATTAATAATGAAAATGTTGAATTTTATTACGGATTATTTGTAAGTCGTGTTCATGCTGTACATTTTAAAGTAAATTGAGGTGACATCAGGCACAGATAGTTGGCCTGTTTTCCAGAGCTTTCAATGTTATTGAGTAGTTTTTTTCCCAAACATTTTCATTCATTCACATTAATAAGTATGCAAGATTTTTCTTCTTCTTTTACAATAGTGGTTCATTTATATTTACAACGCATTCAGAAATAAGTTAAAATAATATCCTTTTTCTTCATTCAGTTGTACAACTGCATCAATTGTGTAAAATTGAGTGCGTAATTTTAATACAGCCAAATCCAGCTACAGTGAACCTTCGAAGGACCGGTTCACTGTAATGTTCACTATATCCGTACAGCAAACAGTTTTAACTCATTTTTCCGAACTGCTCCCTTTTATGACACATTATTTAAATAAATGAGCCATAAAGAGAAATACAAAAGTGATTAAAAAACAATATGTAGTAACAAAAATTGTGTTTATTTTTTGACTCTTCATCTTGCTTACAAAAATTTTAGCCTTTGTTGTGGAAACTGAGATAGAAGAAGCAAACAAGGCTTATTGCTACATTCTACTCTATAGATGGTTTTAAAAATCGTCCACTCTTGTCCATAAATTAAGGATAATGAAGTTAAGGCACAGAAGGAGACAGAAGCCAAACAAATTGACTTATTTGTATAGTCTATGTAATAAACAAAAGGTAAAGAGCAAAAATGATGCTATATGTTTGACATAATTAATAAAAATTGAGATTTTTACTCCCTGGAGCAAATTTTAAAAAAGAACCTATTTACAAAAAACAGTATAACATGGTTAGTATGATGGTTAATTCGGAGTATGTCTCCTGAACGATGCAATACAGGCCGTACAACGCCTAGGCATGCCGAGTATCAAATTATCAATCTGATCTTGGGGAATATTACACCACTCATCAAGCAAAGCCCTCCGAAAGTCCGGTATACAGGTGGGAGCCAAGCATATCCTACTCGTGCTCTATTGGATTCAAGTCCGGTGAGTATGCTGGCCAATCCATACGGGTGATATCCTCCAATTGAAGGCATTCGTCTACAATGTTTGCACGGTGAGGACGGGCGTTGTTGTCCATAAATAGAAATTCAGCACACAGGCGCCCTGAAGCAAACATACATGTTGTTCCAAAATGACATCCCAATAGATGTGGCCTGTCATCGTTACACTCTGAACATGCAGGTCAGTTCTGGAACCAAGAATAATTCCTCCCCAAACGAGCCATCCTGCACCACCGTAACGGTGTCGTTCAATGGTGTTGTCTTGGTGGTAACAGGTACCTGGCGCTCTCCACATAAAAGTCCGGCGAGAATCAGGCTGCAAACTAAACCTGGACTCGTCGGAAAACATCACACAAGACCACTGTTGGGGTGTCCACAATGCATGCTGCGACAGTGAGTTGCACTAAGTGGAACACATCTGGCCTACGAGCATATAGACCAATGTGCCCCAAGCGTCTGTACACGGTCTGCCTTGAAACTGTCGTACTGGTAGCTGAAGAGAGCTGAACAGACAGGTCTGATGCTGTGCTCTGTCTGTTTCTTTTGGCAGTAACTGCCAAATACCGGTCTTCATTCGGCGTTGTAACTCGGGGGCGACCTGTGCTGTAACGTCTACTCACATTACCATCATCTTGGAATCGTTGCCAAAGCCTGGAGATGACACTCTGGGTGATTCCAAGCTCCTCGGATACTTCCAGCTGGGTACGTCCACATTCCAGTCGTCCGAAGATTCCGCCACGTAAAAAATCATCCAAATGCTTCCTTTGTGCCATAACTATGCGGTTATTGCACTGAAAGGCTTTTAAAGCGCTTGTGAACAATTTTACTTCTTTGCCACCATTCCTTACATAACCCTCTCTTACACTCTCGTCATTGTGACGTACTACCAGCGTCATCTAGTGGTTTCCTGTAATTTGCATATTCTTCTTCAGGATGTGTGTGATAATTCTACAGGTGAAATTGTAATTTTAGAGTTTGATTTCCGTGTGATTCTGAATTATCCTCAATTTATGGACATGAGTGTATATTATGTAGAAATTTCAAAATGACCAAAAAATGAAGAAAAAAATCAGTTGAAGACAGAAAAAAGTGCGTAATATCCAATTTCCTCTCTTTTTCATTCATTATATCCGAAAAAAATATTAAATGTGCATAGCAAGGCATGGGAGCAAACATTTTGTTCACTATAAGCCATGTTCACCATAGCAGTGTTTGACTGTATAATGAAACATAGTTTTAAGCTTTCACTAGAGAATAAATATTATGTAGTTTTCAGAAAAGTCATTCATTAGTTTCTCGCTTACTCTTGTGCATAATTCAGTATTTTAAATAACTATTCAGTATATTAAGTAATCTTTATAAATGTCTTAAATAATGATTGAGATGTTCTCTATTATTGCAGCAACTTGAATCCTTGTGTTGGCATAGAAGTGGCACTAAATTCATTAGTTCCCATAATGATGGCACTTTTGTCGTTTGGAGTTCTTCAGATGCGTCAAAACCAGAAGAATCTCCAGCAACCCCATATGGTATACTTTGAACTCGTTTCTTTTCACATAGCTGCCAACTCTACTGGATTTTGTTTCTTATTTTTGTCTTTTAAAAATGGGTGACAACTCAAAACATAATCTATGGGATATTTAAGGATGCTATTTCAGTTATGCTAAACTGTTTCATTATTTAAGTTTTTTCAGCTGTTCCTTTTTTTCCTCAATTAAAATTAGTACAGTTTGCTCAATAAAGCTGACACAAGAGCACAGTCATTGTGTTTCGTTTCTCTGAATATATTGTGTATAAAAATGTACAGGGAATTATTCTTCCATATTTGAGGGCAACCCTATCACATTACTTGAAATTTGTTACAATAAAAAAAATAAACAAAAAATAATCCTCTTAAAATGCTGCAAATTCTACACTGCTAAATAATTACATTAATGTAAAAAATGCTAAAAGATAAAATTTTGATACCTTCTGACTATCAGGAAAGACTGACTATCAATATTAACGGAGCAAAAGTGAATATTTTAAATCTTTGTTCAAATTATTAATTGTTAAAAAACTTGTGTGAAATTCTTTTTAATGGTTTGGTTATTGTTACACAGCTGTCAATTCTACTGGTTTTTCCAGTAGACCTGTTCCAGTACTGGTTTTGCCTGTTTCTCCTGGTGTACTGGTTTAATTAAAATTCTCCTGGTATTTGTACATTTTAGAAAATTCCTTAAAATTTAAGTTTCCTAAAAAAATCTCCTTTTGAAATATAATTTTTGTGCAGATTGCTTGAATATTTAAATAAGTATTATTATTACATAATGAAGCAAACTGTATTATGTATTACTGATTGCATAATGAAGTGAACCTCATTTATTGAAATGAGTTCAAAATTTTTTTTGTTCTAAGATGTTTTTATTCAGAACTCTCTATTTAAATTAATTAAAAAATCTTTTTCACTATCTTTGATGAATGAAATGCCTATTAATATTCAAAATTATGAATAAACATAATACATAACATAAAAGTATATTTATGTCAGTAGTTAGTATGTAATGTCAATCATAACTGGAAAATATTGTAGTTTTTCTATTTTGATGACTATTAAAATTCCCTGTGTGTGAAATATTTAGTACATTATGCGAGAATTATCATGAAATTTATATTTGGTGAAATCTACTGAATTTTTTCCTATCCATGTTGGCAGCTATGGTTTTCAGCCCTGTGGCAGAATTTTGTTCAGCTATCTGCCACGGAACTGTCTAGCACTCGTATCTTTCTTCAAGATACTTTCGATAATAACAAACATATATGTTACTAATATAAAATAATAAAAATGCTGTGTTTACGAATTTTTTTATTATTTTTTAAATTGAACATGTAACAATTTTTTTATTCTGATATTATGCTTGATATTCTCTTATTTTGATGGGAGGAAGCTTTTCTTTCTTTGCATTTTGTAAATAATCATCACAGTAGAAAAATAATTAAAAAAATCATGAAATCCGAACATAGTATTAGTTGCATAGTTAGTCCGAACATAGAAAGAAAAAAAAAAGATCAGCGACGAATTCAAGCTAATCTCTCTTCAAAGGCGTGTTTCGTTTTAAGATAAGGCTGTTGTACTAAATTGTATCGTATGTAAAATATCAGATTTAAAAACCAAAGAGAAATCAATAGCAATGACTGCCAAAAATTCGATAGAATCATTGCGTTAAAGTATAAACTCAAATGCGTGATACGAATTTTCCATATGATTTGAAATATATCGTGATATTTAAAATCCACACAAGAATCAATATCAGTAACTGCCTAAAATACAATCAGAACATTACGTCGATTCACGATACTATCGGCATACATTGAGCACTTCAAAAAGTTATTACTTAAAGGCATGATTTAAAGATTACTTCTGAAGAAAAGTAAGTTATTTAAAAAAAAAAAAAAATCATTTTGTTAATCTGCCACGAGGTTTTTAGTATTATCTACATTGTATTCCAACAATTTTTATTTGCTCTTCTGTTTAGGTCCATTTCCCTGCAAAGCAATTACAAAGATCATTTGGAGAGCTGTGAAAGGAGGGTATGTTTTTTTTTTTTGATTTAAAAAAGAAGTTAAATGAGGACATATACATGCGTCTATGAGTCTTGATGAGATTTTTTTTTTCCCCAGCGATGATTTCACAATATTTGGTGGAGGTATGCCTCGTGCTAGTTATGGAGATAAGCATACGATTTCTGTTATGTGTGGAGAAAAACATCAGGTGTTTGACTTCACTTCTAAAGTTGTAGATTTCTTCACAATCTGCCATGGAGATGAAGAATCAGGTACTTTTTTTTTTTTTAAATTTCTTTTAAATGTGCCTATTAATTATATTAAATTATATTAAAAATTTTGTAAAAGTAGATTTCTTAGAAACTTGGTGAATTTATGAGATAGACCAATAAGTCGAGCATTTATTTTAGTAATTATTAAATAATTTTGTGGTTTGTTATCTAAGCAATTTTAAAGTGTTGAAAAATTTGTTTTGAGTAGGATGTGTAGCTTGCTTTAAAAGTTCTTACTTTTCAATGGGTATTTGTAAAATGATTTCTTCACGTTCTTCACTTTTCACTCTTTCTTCCCTAAATGTCCCACTCTTTTTTCACTTCTCAAAAAGATTTCTTCACAATCTGCCATAACGATGAAGAATTGGGTACTTTTTTTTAAAAAAAATTTCATTTTAGCTAAAGAATTTCTCGAAAAATATGACTTTATAATTTTATCAAATTAGATCAAAAGTTTTGTTAACTTAGGTTTCTGTGAAAGTTGGTGAAATTATGAGATAGGCAAAGGAGTTGAGCTTTTATTTCAGTTGTTACTAAATAATTTTGTGGTTTGTTATAAGAGCAATAAATTTTAAAGTGTTCAAAAATTAGTTTTGAGTAGGATGCGTAGCCTACTTTAAAAGTTCTTACATTTCGTTGGGTTTTTCTGAAAAGTGCTTAGGTTTTATTTTTTCTGAGCATTGAATTCTGGGCTATGAGTTATTTTCTTTTAGCCATGAAATTGATGTGCTGTGTATTTGAATTTAAATTTATATAATCCACATTTGATTTTTCTTAATCCTTGAACCTTGCATTGCACCTGTCAAACTTCCGTAAAACATATGTCTCTCAACTAGGTTTTTCATTTTTTATTTCATTAAAAATACTTTGAGTTTTTGTTTTATTATTTTATAATTATTTAAATATCATCAACATTAAATTCAAAGTATTATATAAAAATCATAATAATGCAGCTGTATTATTATGCTAAGTTTTACGATGATTTGAAATTGATTGCATAATTTAAAGTTGTTAAATAGAAATGTTTCTTTATTAATGACTAAAGAGCAGGCTTTTTTTTTTTCAAAAATATTAAAGTTTAAAAACGTTACACGTAACAGGGGTCATATAAATGTTGCAACATTATTCTTGGAGAGTTTGGTGTAAACCCGTGACCCTATTGTCGCCATATAATGCCAAAGGCATTTCCTTATTCTTTGTGTGCTTTTGAACAGGGAAGTGCCCCTAGCCACGTACGGCAGTTTCGGGTATGGGTTATTATGCAATTTTAATCCCGATGAAGATTTTTAATCCCTTCCTTAGAAGTTTGTTTTAACATTTACGTGACTATTGTGCTAGGTATAGCATTTTTAAACTTATACATTTTCACAAAAATTTAGACTAAAAATGTCATTTTACAAAAAAGTTTTAAAAGCAATACTAATTTTAGATTTAAAAACCTGAATTAGACAAGATACAAGTATTTGTGTCAATGCAGTAAAGATATGTTCCTATTTTGATAAAATTTTTTTTATTTACCTTGTTTTTCTTTTCTTTTCTTTTTTTCTTATTCTAAATTCCTCTTAACTGTTTTGTTTTGAAAGTTTGTTTTCCTTTATTTAAAAGCTTTAGGTGTTTTTTAAAATTTCACATGACATTTCCTTTGCAAAAGCTTTTTAATTTTGCTATGAAAGAAAGTCACAAAGCTATGCGAGTTAATATTATTAAACTTTATAAGATGCTTTGTGAACTCTCTCCCAAACCCTTCCTCCCTACATTATTTCCTTGGTCATAAAATCAGTTCATTTCTGTATAAAAAATATTTAATTTGGGAATTGTTGCCACTGCACAGAGAGAATAGGGGAAAAATACATGTTTAAAGGTATATTCAGCAGCGATTATTACTGTTAGCCTAATACAGTTCATACAAGAGCACAGTGTGTGGGAGTATTGATCCTTCGTCTGTGAAAAGCTACCCCACCGTAGAATCCAGTTAACTTGTATACTAGTGAATTGGAATTATATTTTTGTAGTGGTAGATACACTACAGTATTCCCCCACCAGAATTATGTCTGTGATAGAATTCGACGAATGGATACAACTAGTCGATTCCTTGCTGTTTCGTTCTAAGCAGGGTGAGCCGTATGAAGAAGTACTTTTCTTGAGTGTCGATCGCGAGAGCCGCATCGAGTTCACGATCGTGGTCCAGCCCGCATCGACTTTCCGCAGTCGAGCGTATACGTCGCGTGTGAAGGACAATGTCGCAGTCACGAGTAGCAAGTCTGCTGTTCGAAGTAGGGGTGTGCGTAGTGAGTGTTTCTGCCGAGGTAGGCGTGTTCACCCTTGTGGGGAGAGTAGATTTCAATGTCAACCTTCATCTAAGAAAAGGTACCCCACCCTAGAGCAGAGCTAACATGTCTTATATATAATAGTGAATTGGAATTATATTTTTTTAGTGGTAAATGCACTATGCAGTGCTTTTCCTCCTAATATATTGTCTATAGGGAAAAGACAGGGAATTATTTTTCTAAATTTAAGTGGCAGCCTGGAACAAAAGAGAAAAAATGTGTGACTTGTTTGAGATTTTGATGTAATGTTTTGCCTTTCAGAATACGATAACCCCCACACCCTTGTTGTGTTGGCTGAGGAAGAGATAGTGTTGATTGACCTTGAAAGTGAGGAGTGGCTTCCTTTCCGCCTGCCTCACCTCTCCAGCTTGCACATGTCTTCCATTACTTGCACACAACACTGCAGTGATGTCCCCCAAGATCTCTGGAATAAAATCACAACTGCAGGAACTGCCTCTGAAAAATACACTGAAAAGGTTACAATTGTGTCAATATTATTTTTTGTTTTCTGAAATTCATGTTCAGCTTTTATTATTACTTGACTCATTGTTATATTATTTGTGTCATTTTTAAAATTCATTGTAACGATCACATATATGAAAATTTCCTGTAAATTAAGCTAGCTTAAAATAAATAAAATAAAAATCTGAAATAATGCTTCAAATCTTGCATTTTAGAAATGTGTAGGTTAAGTTATAAATCAGAAATATCTCCCTTGTAGAACATAATCATTCTGTCAGTATAATGCTGAATATATTAGCGTGCGAAGATGATCTGGAAAAATCTGGTTTTCTGAATTTTTTTTCTGACCGTGATCCAGAAATCCAAGATCCAGAAGTTTGAAGAAATCATCGATCACATTTACGTATAAAAATTCTTGTATATTTTATTTCAAAATATTAGAACTAGAATTTTTGCTTAGGAGATCTTTCTTTTGTAAATAACTTTTTCTGGTAGAATGATAAATGTGATTAGAGATAAAAGTAAACTTTTACGTGATTATTCATTTAAATCATTCGGCATTTAATTTACTTAGAATTTTATTGTATTGAAAATATCAGTGATTTAAATTTATAAAGATATTAAATTTTTTGAAATGCGTCATTCACGATTTTACTCGAGAAATTTTCAGAATTTTTGAGTTGGGCTCACAGTAGCCCATGTGCGTGTAAAATAGTGATTAATAATGACCACTACTACCTGAAAGTATTAAATATGTCTTAATAGTCAACCTTAAAAGTATTAGTTTAACTAATTCTTTCTTAAAATTGTTTAGACAGCATAAAAGATTTACAACTTAATGTTCATGAATATGTTTTTAGGAATGGCCAATCACGGGTGGAGAGAATCTTCTGGATGAGTCGTCTACTCGAGATCTTCTATTGACTGGACATGAGGATGGTTCTGTAAGATTTTGGAATGCTTCGGGTGTTGCACTCAGTCACCTCTACACCATTCACACTTCAAATCTTTTTGTGAGTGAAGATGGTGAACACCCTGCAGAAGAAGAAGAGTGGCCACCTTTCCGAAAGGTAGAAACTATTTCTTAGAAACAGTGTAATATAATTTATTTTCACGACCCAGTAATTCACTGGCAATAGCATAGCTGCCGAATGTTCTGATTAAATTGTATTTGTTCAGATTTATCCTTGTTCCAAAAATATTCTAGTGCCTTTTCACTCCTTGTGCCGATTTTCTTTCATCCCAGGCAGGGTTCCCACGGTCCTTGAGAGTCCTTGAAAGTCCTTGAATTTTTTTGTGCTAAATTTAGGCCCTTGAAAGTGCTTGAAAAACGTCTTAGGTCCTTGAAAAACTTGATAGGTCCTTGAATTTGTCCAATACTGCCGGCGGCCCTTTTTATAAAACACCCGCGGATCTTTCTCGTTCTTTCTGTTTTGTTCCCGAGCTCTCTCACG